CCAGATGGCTTGATATTGTGCTTGGGCCGTAAGGGGCCCCTCCTAGAGTCTGTACACCGCCAGTGAGTGCGGGTACCCATTGTGATATGAGATATAGCCCGAGGGGCTAGTATTGTTACATGTTGTTGCCCGAGGGGCTGATTCTGTTGGTATTGTGCCCGAGGGACGGTTTTTATGTGTTTATCTCTTCTAGCTGACTATCATTTACTTGTTTAACTGTTAAAAAGGTATTTTAAAGAAGCTTATTCTGAACTAAGGCGACTTTATATGTTTTCTCTATTTTTCTTGCATTTTACTGGTTTTTACTCTACCTCTGTATAGCATGTTGTTGTGCTTTTACGTGATTTCTTATCGCTCAGTCTTCATTTATTATTATTTCTCACTGAGTTGGAGTACTCACCTTACTCCCTGCACCCTGTGTGCAGATTCAGGCGCTTCATATCCAGCTAGCGAGTGTTGACTTCTTCCAGCTCAAGCAGATTCAGAGATTCACTAGGTAGCTGCTCGGCATTCACAGCCCAGTGCTTCTCCCCCTATTTTATTTTCTCTTGTTTTAGTTCTGTACTAGACTATGTAGATTCTTCCTGTTTTAATCGGTTAGTAGATGCTCATGATTGGTGACACCCCGATGTCGGGCTATGTCTATTTCGCAAATTGTATCATTCGCCTTTATTTTGGAATTATTATTATGTTAAAGACTTATTTTGTATTATTTTAATTGCTTAAAATGATTTGAGTGTGTATCGGCTGGCCTTGTCTTCACAATAGGTGCCATCAAGACCGGGTCTGGGTTTAGGGTCGTGACAGAAATCCTCAAAATCACTCAAGAACCGAGCTCTAAAATATCAATCTAAATGAAGAAAAATGGCCATTTTCGACCCCTTAATGTTCTGCTCGGTCTCGTATTGCGAGAAAAATGTCGCATCTATGGCCTCCCATTTGCGAGGCAAGGGCTGCATTTGCAAAGCCAGGCAGCCAGGCGAGATTCCGCATCTGCCGATTTTTTAGTCGTATATGTGACATTGCACCGATATGTGAGCCGCAAAAATGACCCTTCCGCATGTGTGGTCACTGGACCGCAGAAGCGGTATTGCCCATGCAATCAAAACTTTACAAAAGCGAAGCTTCCTTCCCCGCCTCAACTTCGTAAAAGTGACTATGCCTTTGCAGAAGCGGGCACGCACCTGCGGCCGAAATTGTGCAGGTGCGACGCACCAAAACCAGACCTGGGCAGCTTGTTCCAAATGCTTTGTGGCTCGTCCGAAACTCATCTGAGCCACTCGGGACCTCGTTCGAATATTCCAAAAAGTCCCGTAATATAATATGGACCTACTCGGGGGGTCTCAAATCACATCAAACAAAGTCAAAACTACAATTCGCACCTTGATTCGAACTTAATAAATTTAAATTTAAATTCTAAAACTCGCGCCGAAACACGTCAAAACAGCCCGGAATGACCTAAAATTTTGCGTGTAAGTCCCAAATGACTTAACAGAGCTATTCTAACTTTGGAAATCGAAATTAGAGCCTGATATCAATTAAAGTCAATTTGTGGTCAAACTTTGAAATCTTTAAGCTTTCAAACTTCAAATTTTCAACAATTGGCAATAACTAAAGCTAGGGACTTCCAAATTAAATTCCAGGCATACGCCCAAGTTCAAACCACGATATGAACGTATAGGAACTATCAAAATGCCGATCCGAGTCCGTTTTCTCAAAACGTTGACCGACGTCAACTCATTTGAGTTTTAAAGCTCTATTTCACATTTTTATCAAATTTTTCACACAAAAGTTTTCCTAAAAAACTTTACGGACTGTGCACGTAAGTCGACAAATGCTGAATGGTGCTATTCGAGGTCTCAAAACGCAAAGATGAATATTTAAAATTAAAGATGGCATATTGGGTCACCACAATTTTACCTTTAAAATAACAAAAACTAAAGATCAGATATATGAATCAAAAAATTACGGAATATCAAAAGCATAGGTGTTTCTGCCTCTGAAAACTTAAAAGTTGGTTGGTCAAGAATAGCCTCAAAAGTGAATTTCTCAATCAGATAGAACAATGGATATTGCAACAGTAAAAATTTATGGTTGTGAAATAAATTGCATTTTTCTTGGGTGTATACAAAAAATGTCTTAGTTAGGAAAAGTGTTACATGTACTACTATATAATGTAATTTGACCACACACAAAAAAACTTATGATTAATTTTTATTCTATCAATGTATTGTCAGTATTCTCATGAATTCGGGAAATCATATTAGTATTCAGTTTAATACTAATTGTATTTATTTGTATATCTGACACAGATCCAAAAAAAACCTATGATTAATGTTTATTCTATCAATGTAGATTATTTCTAACTATTTCCCGGGAATGGAGTGGAAAAATTAGGAGGAGCGCGTGCCACAAACACATAAAAAATTATGTATGTATGTATGTGTGTGTATTGGCATGTTTTACTTAAAGGCAAAATACATAAGTTACCCCTTAAACTATGGACCAAATACCTATTACACACTTTTTGCGGACGAAAATCACATTACACACTCAACCTTTCCAAAGTGTATCTAATACACACTAGTTTGCCCGCGTGGACAGTACATGTTTTTTTCCAATAAATGAGTCGCGTGAACAAAAGAATTTTTGTGTCAGATGTCAATTTTTTTTAGTTTTTAAATTTTTAAAATTAAGTCATCTTCTTCCTTGTTTAAAAAATCCTGCCATGGCTGCTCCTTGAGACCTTGACACTTAGATCCACTTCTTTCCTCCATCCGATCTCATGCTTCTCAAATAAACCCACCACGATTTCTCATCTCTTTTCATTGATTAGTTTTTAGTTTTTTTTTTTTTTGCAGATCTTGGGCGAGAAATTGTGACTAGATTCAGTAATTAAAGTTTTTTATAGCTCCCACAACCATTAAAGCTTGCCTCAAGCTTTTACATAGAAGATTATTTTTTTCGCGGAGAATCTTAGTTTGAGCTTTTGGTGTGGCAGTATCTAACTTTTCGAAAACAAATTCCAACCATTAAAGCTTAACTCAAGCTTTTGCACATAAGTACATTCTTTAATTTTATTAATGGATGAATTTTTAAATAACTAAAATGTAAAGTTCTTAGTTTTCTTCTCTAAGAAATATACTTTCTTCCTTATTATTACAAATTCATTACTTCAGTTGTGGGAATCGGAATGACACAAAATAGAACATTGTAACATGGAATGGTCGTTAATGGTAGTTGAACTTTTACAGAAGAGAAATGAAAAATGAGTTGGATCTGGGCTAAAAATTTCTTATTCAATTTCAATGAAAAAGATGAATTTTTGGGTGTGTTTCTAGTATTTTTGTTAGTTAATGGTGCCTTTGTCATTAAGTAAAAGGTGGGGGAAGAGGCTATGGTGGTTGATGGTGAAGAGAGGAGATGGACGACAACAATGATGGTTTAGAACTTTAGATGGAGAAGATGAGGGGTATAGTTGTAATTTTAATTATTTTATTTTTTAATAAAAAATAATGACATGTGTCACTGTTTGATTGGTGAAGGAAAAAATAGTGTGTATTAGATACACTTTGGAAATGTTGAGTGTGTAATGTAATTTTCGTCCATAAAAAATGTGTAACAAAGATTTGGTCCATAATTTAGGAGATAACTTATGTATTTTGCCTTACTTAAAAGCTAAGTTTAGTTTCACTGCTGTGTCTCATAAATTAAACCTTAAAATTAAGTTTATTTGAGAATTGTTTCATAAATTAAGATGTTCAAATTAATATGATGAATTAGGAGAAGAGTTATTGGAAAGATCGACCTTTCACATGCATGTATTCTGCAGCATGTGAAATTTCTGGGACTAAGTTAGAAAAGAACGAAAAAGGAGCATTACTCGAAAAGCTTCTTAAATATACTGCACTAATTTCATATATGTTATTGGTAGGGGTGTACAAATCGAACCGAAAAATCGCACAAAATAAAAAAGTCAAATCAAATAGAGTAAAAAAGGCCTATTAGGTTTGGTATTGAGTAAAAAATCCGAATTAAAACGACATATATATATATATATATATATATATATATATATACTTTTAAGACTTTTTATATAATTTTCTTTACACAATATCTAAAAATTTTTACGCTTCTCTTATTGGATGTAATATTTAGTTAAATATAAAAGTATACATATTTATTAACTTTAAATAATAGATTGTATGATCACTTTCTTATCAAGTATTAGTGAAATATGTCAATCTCTTTTTTCTTCCATATTCATATGTCAAGATCTATAAAATTCTTATATCTTTTTTGAATTTGAAGTGATATTTCGATAATTTAAAATTAAATAGAACATACCATTATATAGGTTCATATTTAATTTTATGTTTAATTACTAAATTCAGTTAACCTTTAAGTGTACGCCAACGTAAAATTATTGTCAGACGACTAAAAAATAACTATATCATCTGTCACTAAGAAAATTCTTCCATAAGAATATTTTAATAGATCATATATTTGTCTTTTTTTTAATTTTTACTAAACATATATTTACTTATCAAAAATCTAACAAAGTAAGATTGAAATAATATTTATATAACAAAAAAAATCTGAAAAACCCAACAAAAACGAACCAATCCAAACCAATATAGTTGGTTTGATTTGGTTTTAATAAATAACCGAACCAACCCGGTCCATGTACGCCCTAGTCATTGATAGCCGTATAAAAAGAGAAGCTCCCTTTAATAAAAGTGTCTTGTTACCAAATCCCTTTCTTTGATACATATATATACCATTGCATATGGAAAAACACTCTAATTGTTTACGATATTCAATTTTAAGATACATTGTAAATATTATTATTTCAGTTTTATATGATTTTCTAAAAGATCGGTAAATTAAATAAAATATATCTTTGTAGGATTATTTTCTTTTATATTCAACTGATAAGAGATCATGTGATACTTTTATTTTATGAACGCCAAATACATTATATTTATTTCGTAGAACTTTGTAAATAAGTTATATAGTAAAACAAAAATGTAAAACAAGGAAGTAATATTGATCAGGATAACATGTTAATAGACCGAAAGGACGCAATAAGAATTAGCTGAGCCCCAATCCATTATAAATAGCAGATGTGATGTGTTGAACCACACATCATTCAGCAAAAAACATTATTATTTCATACTCACTTAATTATGTAATCGTCCTTTGTCTCACTATATGATGTACGTGTTACAGTGGCCACCTACTTATTGTACCATAAACCGTTGCAAACCCGGCGCCATGGAACGCTTCTCCGTCCACGGGCTTTGGCCAGCAGATGTTAGAGGAAAAAGCTTAAATAACTGTCCAGGACCTTTAACTGATGAAGACAAAAAAGTAGATACCATGGTATGCTTTCTTTTTAATTCTTTTTAATTCTTTTTAATTCTTTTTATTATATGTAATTATCTTTTTGTATAATTTTATACTTGTTTATGCTTTGCGTGCATAGTTGAACATGGACAAAACCTTGGAAGCAGATCTCGGAGTTATTTGGCCAAATTTGGAAGATGGCGGTATAAACCGAAATTTCTGGAAATACCAGTGGGAGAAACATGGACTGTGTTCAATTCAGTCTCTCTCACTTATGGATTACTTCAAGGCAGCAGTAACAGTGCATCACAATATGATTGCAATAAATAACAAGAAGAATCTGCTCGGCTACTTGATTGATGCAAACACTAGACCATCCAACGTTACTGTTAAAAAAATAAGGGACATAAACAATGCCTTTCATAAGCTGGTTGGTAACAACAACGATATCTACATCTCATGCACGATGAATAGCAATCATATTCTTCTGCATGAAATATACTTATGTATGGACGCTACGTTGAAGCAATTCGTTTCATGCCCACCAAGCAGCAACGCAAGAGGCTGTATCCAGGGGTCCAACTGTTTAACCAAAAATAGAAATTTCGGTCAAAGCTTTATTTTAGAAGAACTCAGGTTACTGATAATCAAATATAGAATAAATAAAAGAAATTGAGTTTAATAATAGTACGATGAACATAAGAAAGCAAAGTAAATCAGTATATTCCAATAGTATTTTCTGTCCTTACAAATGATTAGTCTTCTCCTTTTATAGCTATTTCTAGGTAATACGTTTCGCTTCTACCATAATCGAGCCATTATTGTCAATTAATGGCATTCAATGACATTTAATGTAACATTACAATCAACAATCATATTTGATTCAATACACAATCCATAACGTTTTCCGTATTTAATGCCCCATAGTACGTATCTATACCTTATTTACTATCAGATTCATTCCCTTCCATCATGAAGAGGTTCGAGCACCTATCCTCCTTGCTTTTTATCTGAACGTTCGCCTGTACATGTTGAAGCTCGTGTCTCTTTGATTATTCTTCATCATCTATCCTTCTTTAACTGGTCCACGTGTCACGACGTGTCATCTTATAATGAATTTCATATATAAACTTAATTTTCCCAATACAGATAGTCCCCCCACTTGCCATTTATTCATCAATAGAATATTTGGGAAGTAGATCTCATTAAAGCGGGAATATTTGCCGCCATTTAATTTTTCCCTAGAACTGATGCTTCAACTGTCTCTTGCATTTAATGTCCATGACACATGGCGTCTCCTGGTTGGCTTTGCAACCTTTTAGCACCTTTTAAGGCTTTTTTACAGCTTGACCAATTACGAAGCGTCAGTTCTCATTATGACGTTTCCATCATCGCACCTTTTCCTTTGACGGTTGCTTCTGACTATAAATATAACTTTTTACCTTTGTCCTTTTCACAAAAGTTTAGAATATTCAATTCCAATTTTCTTCTTCCTCGTACTACTATGTATTCTGCAAACCCCAACCCTCGGAGAGTCCCCATTGTTGACAACCTTTCTCTTGCTCCTATTAGAAGTAGAAGAGGAGGAAGGCTTCGAAGTTTAGGGTCTTCTTCATCACGAGACCCCTCTATTCTTTCATCGAGTTCTACTCCTCCTTCCAGAACTAGGGGTTCACTTTCTCAAAGATCTTCATCTAGGACTAAAGAACCCACTGAACCTCTTCGTGAACCTTTAGTAGATGAAATTGTTCCTGCGGAACTATCTTTCTACAATGATAGAGAATCCATTAGAAATCAATTGTCTTCATTAGATCGTGTTGATATCTACCCGACTCAAATCACTGAAGGTCGGATTTCAATAGTTCGTAAAGATTGCCATTGGAGCCATGACTTCCCCATTATAATCCCCAATGTGAACCAAAGAATCACCTCCTATTTAACTTGGTTTTCTTTTGTTTATACATACCCTTTCACGTTAGGTTTCAAACCTGCTATAGACCCTGTTATCCTCGAATTCTGTCGCTTTTTTTATGTCTGTTTAGGACAAATCGACCCTATTGTGTGGAGGGATGTTGTTTGTTTGAGGCATTTGGACAACATGGCCGGTATACCTTTTACATTTTTTCATTTAATCCATCTCTACTCTCTCAAACTCTTTCGCCAAGGAGTCTTTACTCTAGTGGCAAGGAGCAAAAGAGTTCTGGTCAGTCCTGAAGACGATAGAGACTGTGGCCGGTATGCCAGGTTTGTTGTTGCCCCCACTGTTGGTTTAGTGGGTGATGGAAATATTCCCTTCCCTGAGAAGTGGAAGTTTGCCCATGAGTTTTCATTAATAAGTTTCCCGTACCTTTTTCTCAATTTTGGTGATCATATTTTAACTTCCTTTTTCTTTTTCAGCAACCATGAGAGTTGTTGATGAAATTCCCAACTTCCGTGGTTGGGTAAGAAAGCTATTAAATATTGCTCCAATGGACGGTAGGTCTTGGAAAAACCTTTTTCATCGATTTGGTTGGAAAGTGAAAACTCACGGTAAGAGTTTGTTTTCATAGATTTACTTATTACTTCCTTCAGAAATTATTTTGATCCTTCTTTTTGTCAGGATTTCCCATTCGAGGCCTGAGTGCTGAGGCCGTTGCGACTTCTAGAATTTCTTTAGATAGGGCCCAAGAGATAATTTTGGGTTCTTCATCGAAGAGGAAAGCTATTGTTGAACAAGACTCTGAGGAGGAAGAAGAACAAGACGGGGGTTCTTTGATAAAAAGGCCACGGGCTAGAAGAAGAATTATTTCAGATGATGAAGCATCTCCCCCTCACTCTATTCCTCCCACCGAGCCTGTTGAAGCCTCGTTGGTGATTTCTGATGACGATACTCCCGCTGTTGTTCATGATTCTGCTGAACAGCTTTTTGCCCGCGGGTTTGGTAATGAAAGTTTAGGGTCAATTTCTGATGAAGCATCCCTTGCTTATTTTTATACAACCGTTCTTGTGATACCCCCTTTACCACTCGTGACTGTTACCGTTGCTGTTCCTTCCCAGGCTGTTTTGACTCCCCAGGCTTTTTTTACTTCTTCTACAGTTCCTCCTTCTACAATTCCTCCTTCAACTATCTATCACACTGAGGTTAGTTCCTCAAGTGGAGGTGAAGCTATGAGGCAAGTTATCATCGAAGTTCATGCCGAGGGTAACCTTTTGAGGAAATCAGGACGAGCTGATGTGTGGTTGAAACCTCTGATTGGCCCAGTTGAAAAATCTAAGCTTGAGAGCCACATCTACTTGACCTTGATGAACGATAAAGTGCAATCTTCTTTAGAGGTATCCTTTTTCAAATTTTACTTCAGCCTTTTTCTATTTTCAGGGTTCTCACTTTTTCTCTCTCTTTTTTAGATCAATTTAATTAGCACGAAGATGATGAAGAGGGTTTCCTTCTCAGAGCAATTAATGCAAGACTACCAAGTGGAAGCAGACAATTGGAAGGAACAATATGAAAGTTTTCAAATCGACATGGAAATATTAGAAGAGAGCAAATATACCTTAGAGCAGCAGGTTAGGGTTTTAACTTCAGAGTTGGTGGTTGAAAAAGCTTCCTCAAATCAAGCTGGTAAGGACAAGAATCTTCTCGAAACTTCTTTTTCCGAGCAACTTTCTAAGGCAAGTGAAGAAATCAGAGAGTTGAAGGCTCTCTTAAGTGAGAAAGAAGCTTAGCTGGTGAACTCGTGCAAACTCTGACTCAAACTCAAAAAGACCTCCAGGAATCTTCTGATAAGGTTAATTCCTTAGAAAGTTCACATGCTTATCTTCAAACTTCTTATGATTCTGCCTTGGCTGAGAATGAAAAGCTTAAAGGTGAAATTGCTGATTGTGAGAGATATTACGAGATTCTTGAAGATAAAACCGCAATTAAAGTGAGTTGGGTGGTTTTAAATACTCTCCATGATACCCTTGTGGAAGTTAGCCATGAGAATTTTAACTTGGAAGCTGAGTTGGCCAACATAAGAGAAATTATTGAAAAAACTCAGCAGAGCCAAGACTTTTCTTCTCCCGTGGCTGAAGCTTCTGGAAATGTTGAAGATGATATGGGTACGGCAAGTGTTCTAATTGCTTCAAGTCAAGTTGAGCCTGCTGTTGCTGATGACCCTGCTTTGGTTCCTTCTTCAAATCCTCAGTGACAATTTAATGATATGTGACTCCTTTTTTTTTCTTTTGGTGGAATGTGGTTACAACCCTTGGTCCTATTTGAGGGTTTGTTGATAATATCAAGTCCCCAAACCTTTTTCGGGGCGTTTTGTATAAGTAACTTCTTTAGTTTATGACTAAGTTCATACTTGGTCTAAACTTTTCAATGTTAAGAAGTTTTCGTAGCTATTTTTTTGAACTTCTGTCTTGCCTTTATATTTAAAGACTTATTCAATAATTTGCACTTTTATTTTGTAAATGCTTTTTTTTAACTCCATGAGTGTTTTAGATCAATCATGATTTTTTATAAAAGAGGGCCCTTTTATATTCGACACTTAATGAAGAAGACGTCTCAACGTCATAATGGTGTTAATGTAAGATAAAAGAAATAGGAATACACATGTTTCTTGGAATAACTTTGACAAGTTTTTATTTGAACTTGGTCAATTTTTAAATAACACCTTACATGTATTTAAATAACTTCTATAACTTCTTCGTAACTATTTTCCTTACAACAGATTTCAAAAAATAAAATAAAACACAAGGTTTTTATTTATAACCCGTTTCAGTACATTGCCTTTGACCTAACTATGATAAGTTTTTTTTAGCCTTAGCTCGTAACTTTTCTCTGCGCTTGACTCATTCAATGAGTACATTTTTCAGGCTTGAACTTTGATTATTTCCCAATCTTCTTTGCCTTCTTTATGTATATGTCTATGTATATTAAATTGCCTTATTTATACATATGTCTATGTATATTATATAGTCCCCCGAGTGTTTGAGCTTTGAAGTATGAAGTCTCGAGCACTTGATTACTTCTCTTATTTGGTTCTTTTCCTGTAAAGGAATAAAACATACGGGACTCGGAGGTACGATTATAGATGAAGACTGCTTAACCCGTTTCAATTTCTATTAGAATAGTTGTAACCCTAGACCGGAAATTTTAATCTATTCCATGTGCCTTACAGGTCGTGATTCATCATTTAGTATGGGTTAGATTTTTTTCTATCATCTAAAATCGTTAGTAAAATTTTAACAATTCAAAAATAAAGTTTTAAAATGAGGATACCTGACCGTGGGTACTCCTTAGAAATAGTATCTCTTCAGGTGAACGACATTCCAATGTGAAGGTAATATCTTGCCATCCATTATTTTAAAATGAGGATACCTGACCGTGGTTACTCCTTAAAAATAGTATTGTCGCGCCCCCTTTTTCCTCGTGGAGTCCGGGTTTATGACATTTGGAAGGACAACTCATTCCTTTTGGGAACTGAGTTTTGCATTTGAAGAGTCGCCACCTAATGATTAGGGTGCATTAGGAAACCAAAGGTTTTGATTTGAACAACCAGAGATAGGGTAAGGACTTGAAATTATTCCCAGGGGAAGGTATTAGGCACCCCTTAGAATCCACTAGTGTGGTTCCCGGCCAGACAATTATTGTGAATTGAGGTACAATTAACATATAGGCAAATAAGGCTCAAATAAGAGGGGATTTCACATAATGGTTTGAAAGTAAACAAAGTTTGAAAGAACGATTAGAAAAGCTAATTTTAAAAGGAGGAGTTGAAATGCTAAAAGAAAAGAAATAAAGAATAAACGGAGGGGGGAGGGGGTCCTAGGTTTATAAAAAATATGGATCACCTCACACAATGTCCAGTAATCACTCCTCAATGAAGGGCTACACGTGATATTATCGCGTGGTCATCATATCCATATCTACCCTTCCCCCTCCCCCCCGT